TATTATTATTATTATTATTATTATTATTATTATTATTATTATTATTATTATTATTATTATTATTTTTCTTGGGATCGAAATTGTTCATATTACCCATCGTTGTCAGAGAAATATTTTGACTCTACCATTAATTTCAGTAACTAGCATACTGAATCATTTTGATGTTAAAGTGTATGTCACTGCAGTCTTAAGCACTTTTCCTCTTCCCTCTTTCCAGGAATACCTACCGTATGATTGAACAAGATGACTTTGACATCCACACCAGATTACACACAATAGTAAGAGGAGAAGATGAAGCAGCTATGGTGGAATCCGTTGGTCTTGCCTTAGTCAAGTTGCCCGATGTGCTCAATCGCCTGAAACCTGACATAATGATAGTCCACGGAGATCGGTTTGATGCTTTAGCACTAGCTACCTCTGCTGCCTTAATGAACATTCGAATCCTTCACATTGAAGGTGGAGAAGTCAGCGGGACCATAGATGACTCCATCAGGCATGCCATTACCAAGCTGGCTCATTACCATGTGTGTTGCACAAGAAGTGCAGAACAGCATTTGATCTCTATGTGTGAAGACCACGATCGCATCCTTCTAGCAGGATGCCCTTCGTATGATAAGCTGCTGTCCGCCAAAAATAAGGATTATATGAGCATTATTCGGATGTGGTTAGGTAAATGAGTTGTGTATGTATATGTAAGACTACAATTTCATGAAGCAGAGTACAACCCATCAAGTTCATATTGCCCCATAATCTTATTGTATAATCCCAGGCACATAGCAAAAAGAGGATTATCTGTCCTCTGTTGGGGTTTGCCTTTATAGTTGGTAGTTACAATTTGATGTACCAAAGATGTTTGTCTTTGGAATATATAGTAGAATTTATAATCTGTAAATTCCACAGCTGCACCATGGAACAGAAGTCTAGATTAATCTTATCAGCATACTTTTCACATTAGAATGTGAAAAAGGGATCTTGTTACAGGTAGTCCTCAACTTACTGAGCCCGGAATTATGACTGTTGTCATAAATTGAGGCATCATGTGATCTGGATTTGACATTAGAACTTTTTTTTCTGACTGTCACCATGGTCTTTAATGAATTCTGTGCTTTTTTTTGTAACTCAATTTTGCTTTTTAAGTTTGTACATTTACATTGTTTTCACAGGTGAGGGTGTGAAGCCAAAAGAGTATATAATCGCTTTACAGCATCCTGTGACCACAGACATTAAACATTCTGTAAAGATGTTTGAACTGACTTTGGATGCCCTCATCTCTTTTAACAAGAGGACTTTGATTTTATTCCCAAATATTGATGCAGGTGACTGATATGACTGTTATGAATATGTTAATGTACTGTATTAGAAATGTTAATATATGCATAAAATTTAAGCGATAGTGCTGTGATTATTATCCTTTCATTTCTTTGACAGAAATACAGGTATCCTTGATTAACAAGCGTAATTGGGAGTGGAAATTCCACCACTAAACACTTTACCTACCAAGGTAAAGTGCAATGTCACATGATCGTGGAGCTTAGCAACAGCAGTTCTGGGACTTGTAGTTGATATTATTAAGCAAATCCTGCACTGTTGTTAAGTCCTGGGAGCTTCCCCATTGACTTTGCTTGGGGAAGCCAGCAGTGAAGGTTGCAAATGGTAATCGTGTGATTGTGAGATGTTGCAACGTCATAATTGCGAGTTGGTGGCCAAGCCTCCAAATCGTGATCACATGGCCACAGGGATGCTGCAGTGGCTGGAGCTTTGAGGACTGTTCATAAGTACCTCTTATTCAGCACCATCGTAATGTAGCTGAACAAGTGATGGTTAAGCGAGAACTGTCTCTAATGAATATTCAAGACCATTCAGCTTCTTTTCTGTCCTCTGAACCTTTAGAGAACTTCCCCAGATTCCTATCCTCTTATGTAAAATAAAGTGTCACGTTCCCCATCTAAAGTTTAAATCATCTTTAAGCCCACATTTGTTTTGCTCATAAAAGAAAGAGTCACATTCATCCTCTTTAACTTTTATTCTGATGTCAAATATTTGATTAGTAACTAATCCAGGAATAAGACAGAATGGTAGATTCCTTTTCTGTATTTGTTGGGTTGCTTCATATTAACACTGGAGATTTTTAGAAACTGGAATGCATTTTTGAAAGCTAAAAGTAGAAGCCTTTTTTTTCTGTCCGAGTAGTTAGACATTTCTTACACAAATATGCAGAATGTGGTACATAAAGCGTCAGCCCTGAAGCTGGCCTGAGCGAGGCCATTTTCTAAGCTTCAGTGTTGCCACACTTGAGCTGAAGGATAGGGAGGGGCAATAGAGATAGATGGGGTTTGTAGCCAAAACAAAATACTTTGTCTTGGGAACAAAGGACGTTCCCACAGGAGAGAGGAGGAGTGAAGTTACCAGGCAATGGGAAGACATGATTGTACCATGTGACTGATTGCTTGGGGAAGGGGGAAAACCTTTTACTTTTAATTAGGTAAAATCGCAGGAATATTCAGAGTAGGTCTTCACCAGCCTGTGTACCAATATGATATATCCAATAAACCAATTCTTTGAGGAATCTACCTGCCTCGGAGTTCTATTATGGGTGTATTACTTGGAACCCTGACATAAAGATTATCTTGAAAAGGAATTACAATAATTGATCAGCGCTAAGATTATCTTCTGATTCCATTAAGCAAAGTGGCTTGTAATAATTTCTGTATACCTTCACAGTTCTCTTACGCTTATTCAAAATACATTAAAAGTCTTATCGTCTTTTTATCCTAGGGAGCAAAGAAATGGTTCGGGTAATGAGGAAGAAAGGAATTGAGCATCACCCAAATTTCCGTGCGGTAAAAAATGTTCCCTTTGATCAGTTCATCCAGCTATTGGCTCATGCAGGTTGCATGATTGGAAACAGCAGCTGTGGTGTACGAGAAGTTGGGGCATTTGGAACCCCTGTCATCAATCTTGGAACCCGTCAGATAGGGAGAGAAACAGGTATTTAAAACAGCAATGATGGTGTAGCATTAGGTTACTTTGTTTTAATTGAAAACTTTCTGTAGTCATGTCAAATTCTTTAGTGAGACTAAAGAAAAACATGTGTTTTTCATGCTAGAGATAAGATTCTTGTGGTCACGCTCTTAACTAGAACCTGAAATCTGAAGGGTGGAGAGAATGACAAACTGAAAGTTACTGTTTATGTAGAATTGAAACACTGTAGATAGTCCTCAACGTACGACCATAGTTGAAACCAGAATCTCCATTGCTAACCATGACAGTTGTTCAGTGAATTGTGGCTGATTTTACAATCTTTTTTTTTTGCCATAGTTCTTAAGCAAATCACTTTAGCTATTAAGAGAATCACATGGTTAAGCAAATCTGGATTCCCCCTTTGACATTGCTTTTCAGAAGCTACTGGGAAGGTGGCAAATGATGATTGTATGATCCCCCAGGACAGTGCAATCGTTATAAATACATGCCGACTAACAAGCTCCAAAATTTTGATCATGTGACTATGGATGCTACGGTGATTCAAAGTATGAGGACTGATTGCAAGTCCCTTTTTTCAGTGTCGCTGTAACTTTGAACGGTCTCTTAAGTGAATGGTTGTAAGTCCATGACTATTCGTAGTTAACATTTCCTAGGCAGTGTGGAAAAGAGGCTTTCTTCCTGAATATGACAAAACAAAGTTCTCAGCTGTGAGCCAAAAAGTTGTTGATGTCCAAGCTAATTTCCACATTGCACTAAATCTGTCTCTTAGAACTCGGCATTTGCATGTTTGTCAAGTAAATGTATGCTGGTGCAGATGTTCCTGGTTTTATGATGGAGGGCTTATGGTTATGTCCTGCAACTTTAGCAGCAGAGAGTAGCATAGAAGCTCCAATTGTCAGGTGGCTAGAGAAAGTTGGTTGCTTGGATAGTACACAAGGTCTAAGTGAAGACTTCCAGTAGAATTTAGTTCCTGAATTCAGTTGTCATTCTCCCCTCTTCCCAAACTATTAAAGCTGCAAGGGAAATGGAGAGGGAGAATTTGAAACTTGGAAGGGAGCATATCTTGCTCAATTTATTGATGGAAATTGAGGGGCAGGGTTGGGCAGTCATTACCACTGTATCTCTATGGAAGCAAAACATTTTCTGACTTGAACAGGGGGCTGATTAAAATTGTAATTTATAATCAAGAAGACAAGCCTAGAAAAGCGAGGTAAAATTAGAGGAAATGTATTTTCTGGGTTTATTTTTCTCTTCCTGTGAAACAGGAAGCCTACTTACTTGTATGATTTCTTTAACTGAGTGCACTTCTTTGGGTAATTGCTCGATGCAGTTAAGAGACCAAATGAACAGGCTTATATTTTAATTTCTGTTAAGATTTGTGGATTATAGAATGAAATGCATTATTTGTCCATCAACCATTTGTCCATCTGTGCTTTTCATGAGTACACCCTTTTATTAATTCAGCTCTGCAAATGATATTTTAAAATATGCATCTTGTCAACATATATGAAAACCAGAAACCAGATGTAATTTGTTTTATTATTTTTTCAACCAAGAAATCAAGGCAACTAACAATAATTAAAATACAGAAAAAGAAATGGATGTTTAGGTCATTTAATTGTTTTAATAATTTATTTATTTATTTTATTTATTTGATTTTATATTGCCGCCTATTTGCCCGTGGCAACTCGAGGTGGCTTACACAATGTAAAATCATATTTAAAACAAAATATAAAAATAAAAACAATAAGAACTAACAAAAAGAATCAAATAAATTAGTAAAGTACAATAGAACAAAATTTGGGAAAACAAAAAACAAAACAAACGAAACAAAAACCAACTCCCACCCCACCCCCACCCCGATGACAGCGGATCACACCAGCCATCTGATGGGTTCCATCCCTCTCTGGGTTCCCCAGGCCCGCTGGCAAAACCAGGTCTTCAGTGCCTTTCAGAATAGTATTAATGAGAGGGCCATTCTAATCCCTGGGGGAATGATGTTCCAGAGAGACAGCGCCACCACTGAGAAGGCCCTTCTTCTAGGTCCCACCAGGTGTATCTCCCTCAGGGGTGAGACCTGCAGCATTCCCTGCCTCCTCGCTCTAATGGGTCGGGTAGATGTCACTGGCAAGAGATGTTTCCTCAGATAACCTGGACCCAAGCCATGAAGGACTTTAAAGGTGACAACCAGCACCTTGAATCGTACCCAGAAGCAAATTGGCAACCAATGCAACTCCTGCAGGAGAGGTGATACATGTGTATACCAGGGTCTGCATAAAACAATGCAGGCTGCTGCATTTTGCACCAACTGGAGCTTCCGGATGCTCTTCAAGGGCAGCCCCATGTATAGCACATTGCAATAATCAAGATGGGAAGTGACCAGGGCATGAGTGACTGTGAGTAGGGACCGCTGATCCAGGAAAGGGTGTACCTGGTGCACAACCCGCAGTTGCGCAAAGGCCCCCCTGGCCACGACCGCCTCCTGCTCTTCGAACAGGAGCCGTGAGTCCAGGAAAACCCCTAGATTATACACAGGGTCTGTTTGAGGTAGTGCCACCCCATCCAAGACTAAAGGTGGTAATTCTCCCTAAACCAACAAACCCCAAACCCAGAGCCACTTGGTCTTGCAAGGGTTTAGTTTCAACCTGTTGCTCCCCATCCAGCCCCTAACAACCTCCAGGCACTGTGAGAGGGAGGACACAGCAACACTTAACTCACCACGGGCCGAGACATACAGCTGAGTATCATCAGCATTATGTTAATTATAATTATAGCATTATTATTAATTATACTATTTGCTGCAATGCAAGAGTAACGAAGTCAGATTATTAAACTATTTTTTGGTCCAGCATTTAGTTCTTTTGTATTAAGCAAGTATGTTTCATTTTAAATTCAGTTTCTTCTAATACGATATTTAATGTTCTGGGGGTATTTTTTTGGTTTTTTTTTAAGGAGAGAATGTCCTTCACGTGCGAGATGCTGATTCCCAGGACAAGATACTTCGAGCTTTGCACATCCAGTTTGGGAAACAATACCCTTGGTGAGTATAAGAAAAATTAAGGTACCAAGAGAAACTATCATTATGTGTTGCAAATTTTTCAAAGCATCAGCTTATTACAAATAAGCTGATTACAAATAATACGTGGCATTGGGAAAGCAGTTGTGTGATAAACGAAACAGTATCTTTGTATTTAAAAATGCTGTCCTACAGAGTTAATGATAGTTTGCATAATTCATTTCGCTGATGTATATCTGTTTGCTTCAGATTTACTACTACCATACATTAAAAAAATATGCTTGCCTGTTTTTTACCTTGAAAGATAAAGGGTGTATGGAAGGCTGTGTCCATAGATACTGCCCTTGCCAAATCCCAGATTCCCTGCTCAGCTAGATGTTTTTTTCATCAAAATAGTTAAGCTGGCATCCTACAGAACACTAGTTTCCAGCACCATCTTGATTTTTGAGAAAACTCTTATAACCCAGATGGGTTCCAGGAGCTACTTTAGAGAATAAAAATGATGTATGGCTGCATTTTGTATGGAAATGAATCTGCCTGTCCAGGTAATAACAAACATTGTTCAGGAAAAGAAGCAAAAAAGTATTTGGTAAATCTGCGCTTTGTAACTGGTTATATCTGCCACTGTAGCATTTTACGAAAGGGCAATTTTTCCCCCGTAGTCATTTTATAGATTGCCAATCTTTTTTGCTGATTTGTATTTATGGTGGTATATTTATTTTCATGAACATCCTTAAGGTAGCTTTATGGTGTATTAATTCTTGATTAGTGAATGGGTATGATCTGGCATTGACAAGCTTACAGTTTCTGTACAGTCAGATACTAATTATTATTTATTTGTAATAAAAATAAAGTTTAGTGTAAAGTAATTAGCATAACAAATTAAAAAGGTTATAATAGAAAAGTTAGAACTTTGTGTTACATACATATATGTCCTATAGTTCAGAACCTTTCTGAACTTCTTTGATTTAATTTTTGTTGGTAATAGACAGTCCCAGGAATTTGTGACTGCTATCTGACAATAGGATTGATCAAGTGTCTGTGATTTTAGAATTATTGACCTAGTTTATGTCATGCACTTGGCATCCTACGGTAGATAACTTTTTCTACTCACAATTATAAGTAGTCCTCACTTAATGCCAGCAATTGGTACCAGCAATTGGTCATTAAATGAAATAGTCCCAAGTGAAAAAGTCATGTGATCACAACTGTGCTTACAAATTTCTTTCCAATTTCCTTTGCTTCTTGAAACTTCCTTCAGATGAACTGAGGTTCTTTCTGTTTGAGGACACCTTAGCGTACGAAGAATAAGCAAGTTAAAATAAGAGCAGGTTAACATATGTTGCCATTAATCTGTGCATCGATGCTTAATTTAGAATTTGCAGGATGGCTACCAAAGCAGAAGGAAAAAAACAAATGTATTATTATTATCAGATATAAACCAAGCTGATTAGCTGGCATAAAAAGTGCACAGATTATTAATGCTACCATGGTTCTATTAATATTAAAATTAACAAGTAAGATGGCAATTCTCTGCATATTTACTTTGAAATCGATTCTATTAAACATAGTAAAAGCCTTCAGGCACTTGCGGAAGGATAGGAGGATGCATCTCTTCCTCTCCAATGAAAATAAATGCAAACATTAATTTCTGTCTTACTAATTATCCCAGCACTGTGCTAAGCATTCCTAGCTTAATGTTGTAAATATATTGAAGAACCATTTTTAAATGACTTTTTCAAAATTTATCCCTTCTGGCATCTCTCTTTGTGTACTCACAATCTGAATTTATAAGTTTGGCTTGTAGGATACTTTCCTTCTGTTTTGAAATATTATAATTTGTTTCATTTGATACTACAGTTCAAAAATATATGGCGATGGAAATGCTGTTCCAAGAATTCTGAAGTTCCTTAAATCTATTGACCTTGAGGAACCCCTTCAAAAGAAATTCTGCTTCCCTACTGTGAAAGAAAGCATTTCCCAAGATATTGATCATATCTTAGAAACCCAGAGTGCACTGGCAGTGGATCTGGGTGGAACGAATCTCCGAGTAGCAATTGTCAGCATGAAGGTAATTATAAATCTGAATGGTTTATATCCACGGGTGTGTGTGTGTGTGTGTGTGTGTGTCATGCTGAGAATAACACACTTATAATTTTAAATAGCATAATCATTTTAAAAATTTTAAATGATCCCTGAATGCCATCTTACTAAAATGTGGCAGCTTCTTCTAAGAAGGTAATAAATTAGATATTCAAAAGAAAAAAAAAACTCTGATATCAGAAGAAAACATGGAGGAAAAAAAGAGAAAATAATACTGATCAGTTTCAATTCTCTATAAAATAAAACTTTTAAATATATATATAAAACATGCTGTGGTGTTCTGTATGCAAAGTGATTAAAGCTCATTCATTACCTTACAACCTAACCTACCCCTGTTGTTGTGGAGTTAAATTGAGACTAGACCCCATATCACAAAGTCCTGGATAACAGGTGGAATATAAATGCAACTAAATAATTCCAATTTTCAAACAATCCATTATACTAAAGTGCAATCTAAACATTAGATGAATTGGTTTAAGTGAAACAATGATTTAAAACCAAATGAAGATCTATCATATGTAGATACATCCTGATTCAGGAAACACAGGGTGAGCTATGTAAAGTAAAAAAAAATCTAAAGAAAAGTTGCTAAAAATGAATTCTGTTCTGCACTGCTACCCACAATGTGGTCTTGGACTCCCATGTCGTAACAAACCTGCCTTAGGACTGCATAAGCATTGTAAAAAAAAGCATTGTAAAAAAATTGCAGTTGGTGGGCATTGTTTAGCGGAGCCGTTTCTCCTTTCACTGTATAATGGAGCTCTTTTATAATAGCACCTTCTATAAAGTTTAGGCCCCCTAAGAACAGGATGTTTGTCCCCTTAAAACTCTTGCTTGGTTTGTTTTTAACTCATAGGATTAATTTAACTGAATTAATTTTTAAAAGACGTCTTAAACCAGGATTGTCTTACACATGGTTCTTTTCAGGGTGCAAAAGGCATTAACCCCACCATTTTCATCCCCCTTGCAGGCCAGCAAATAAGCTGAGAGTGAGGTTGGGCATGTGGTTTGTCTGGCCAGGAAAGTGCAGACACACATACAAAGACTTCTCTTTTCATACAGTTAGTCCTCGGCTTACGACTACACTTGACCCCCAAATCTTCATTGAGTAAGATCGTTGTTAAGTGAGTTCTCCCCATTTTACCACAATTATTAAATAAATCACTGAGGTTGTTAAGTGAATCATACAGCCTTAAGCGAATCTGACTTCCTCCATTGACTTTGCTTGTTGGAAACCACTGGGAAGATTACAAATGGTGGGCCCCAGGTCATTGCAATCATCATCATAAATACACGCTAGTTGCCAAATGCCTGAATTGTGATCATATGACAATAGGGATGTTATAATGGCTGTAAGTGTGAAAAACAGTGATAAGTCACTTTTTCCAGTGCCGCTGTAACTTCAAATGGTCACCATACAGATGGTCGTAAGTTGAGGACTACCAGTATACAGCACTTTTTTGCTTATTGTATTGAATACATGTCTCATCTCCAATTTTTATTCTGACTGGTCAGTAGAATTGACAATGGCTTGATGGCACATAGTCTGTGCCGTATTTTATAACCTGTGGGAACAGCACTTTATGACAGAAGAAAGTAAAAAATAAGAGTTTGATGGGCTTTTCTTTTCTTAGGGTGAAATTGTTAAGAAATACATACAACTGAACCCTAAAACTTATGAGGATAGAATAGAATTGATCCTTAAGATGTGTATAGAAGCTGCCTCAGAAGCAGTAGACCTGAATTGCAGAATTTTGGGCGTAGGTAAGTTTAATAAGCATCATATTTTTTTGTTTTATGCAATGAAGGCAAGAAGTTGTTGTGCATTTCAGATATAATAAAAGGAAGTGTTTGCTATGTGCTGAAATTTACAAACAGATATCTTGGTGTTTATGGACTGCAAAATGGATTAATATATTAAAATTGGTATACAGTTCTCAGAGAGCCAGTTTGGTACAGTTGTTAAGGCACCAGGCTAGAAACTGGGAGAGTGGGAGTTTTAGCCCTGCTTTAGGCATAAAGCCAGCTGGATGACTTTATTTCAGTCACTCTGTCTTAGCTCTAGGAAGGAGGCATTGGCAAAATACTTCTGAAAAACCTTCCCAGGAAAACTGCAGGGACTTCTCCAGGCAGTCTCCAGGAGCCAAAACCTAATCCAGAGGGACTAAATAAATAAATAAAATTCTCAAGTCCCATGCCTTATATATCTCATAATAAGTTGTACTTCTGCAGACAATTATAAATTGTACTTATAGTCTTCAATTATACTTTCCCCCTCAAAATTATAATAGGCAGAAAAGGCACTGATCAAGAGTTAGATTGAAATAAGCAGGACAGCTCCTGTTAATTTCTAATTTTTTGAAGATTTTGTCCTGTTTCATTTTTTTTATGATACTGTCTTGTAATTTTTGTGTGTGTGTTACTATATATCGTTAAGGTACAATCAACAATATATAGGAATTCAGACAATGTGTCTCTGCATCTTATTAGATAATACAAATTTAAACAGAAAATTGTGGCATGGGTTACCATATGACAACAGTTCTTTACTTATTTGGGGGTTTATTGAAGAATTCTTCTTACACGTAAAACAGAACTGCTAGATTTAGTTGTTTCGTTGAGGAAGGAAGTTGTTCAGTTTTGTTTCGGAATGGGAAGCTAACACTTAACAAAGCTTTATTTTGGATTCTTTTTTAAAAATGCTAGAATTAATAGAGTTCTGTTCTTCATAGAACTTGATATACGCTGTGTGTCTCAGGCATATCTACAGGTGGAAGAGTAGATCCCCAAGAAGGTGTTGTTCTTCACTCCACAAAACTTATTCAGGAGTGGAATGCTATTGACTTGCGGACACCAATATCAGACGCCCTGCATTTGCCAGTCTGGGTGGACAATGATGGCAATTGTGCAGCTTTAGCAGAAAGAAAATTTGGACATGGGAAAGGAGTGGAAGACTTTATAACCGTTATCACTGGCACAGGTATCGATTTCCTCAAACTTCCTAAAGCAGTTTTCAGTCTTCTTTGGAATCAAGTAATAATTTTGTCTTGTATTCAGATGTTGTATTTATTGTAATAGGTCATGTGCAAATGGCTGTAGTCTCTATCCAGATGTTGGGTACATGATTAAATTCCCTTAAACTACAGGAAATGTCAGATTTGGGCAGGGAATTGAGATTACTGCAAATAATAGGAAACTACTCATATGGTTCCTCTTATTTTATTAGATTTAAACTGACGCAAACTACGGGCAGTGACCACCTGATCTGCTAAATCCTTGGCTTTGGAATAGCCCCTCCACTGCACCTTGTGTCAGTCAGAGGATGGTTTCTCATGACACATTCCCAATTCCAGAGTGTAAATTAGAAAAAAAATGGAGAGTTCCTCTTTCTCATTATATAGCATACAAAGATTAAAAGGTTAACAGTGTATATAATAATTATATTTCCAGGAGAATTAATCCATTATTAAGGAAATTTAAGCATTTGAAATGTAAAACTGGGTGGTGTTTTCAAGTTACATTGTTTTTACAGTAGCAACACTTTACAACACTGTTCAAATCCATCTTTCATCCCTCCCATAGTACTAGCTAATGTTGACACCTCTGTCGGTATAATACATGCATAAATGCGACATTCAAAGACAAAAACCATGAAACAGATGAACAGAAACCCTTACATATAAATGTTTTGCAGGAGGCATTAATGTTAACACTGGGGATAAAATTTTAAAAAGTACAGTTGAACAATTACTGTCTTTAAACAAAATATTAAAGAGTATGAAGAGATAGGGGAAAGGAAAAACTGGATAAATGGAGCATTGGATAAAGAAACAAACTGAAGAATATGAAAGGAATGGACCAAGAAAAGATGGGAGCAAGGGTATAAATTGAAAAATAAATTGGCTGGACCGAGCACCTTCAAGCAATGAATCATTCAAATAAAGTTTGGGCAGTCAAGTGTGATTTTATATTTGCCTATGATAAAGGAATCTTTTGGACTACTATATATTTTCTGATCTCCAGAGTTCAGCGACAATGTCCTGATGTTTTTCCTTTCAGGTATCGGTGGTGGAATCATTCATCAAAATGAATTAATTCACGGTAGTTCTTTTTGTGCTGCTGAGCTTGGGCACATTGTGGTAGCAATGGATGGACCACAGTGCCTGTGTGGGAACCATGGCTGCATAGAAGCGTATGCTTCTGGAACAGCCTTGCAGAGAGAAGCTAAGAAATTACATGATGGTAAGTAAGGTTCCATCCTATTATTTATGCCCATGTTTACTAGTAGGGTGTGCATAAGTGTAGGCTACTTAAAAAAACAATCATATTCAATATATTTGGCACTTAATAGCTGCCATTTATTAATTTAGGTAGCAAAATGCATACTTCTACTTGTATTAACTTTATTTCCCAAAGCCAAATTAATTAACAGAAGCTTAGCTGAAAAGTAAATCTACTAACATGCCAGTATCCACACTGACTACATTAGGTACCTTGATCAACATATACAGGTAGTCCTTGAGTTACAGTCATTCATTTAGCACGAAGTTAACAAAGTGACTGTTTTTCACATGTACAACCATTGTGGCATTCCCATGGTCACATGAACCAAATTCAGACAATTGGCAACTGACTCATATTTATGATAGTTGTAGGGTCCTGAGGTCATGGGCTCACCTTTTGCAATCTTCTGACAAGTCAATGGGAAAGCCACATTCACTTAACAAGCATGTTACTAACTTAATAAGTTCAGCGATTCACTTAACAGTTATGGCAAGAAAGCTCGTAAAATGGAGCAAAACTTATTGAACAAATGTCTTGCTTAGCAACATAAATTTTGAGCACAATTGTGGTCATACGTTGAGGACTACCTGTATATAACTCTGATCTGAAAAGCCTTCTTTATTGCAATTTATCCATCACGTGCTAATGAATAAATTCACTTATATACTGTATATTAGTTGCCTTGCAATCTGGGCTGCTCTTCTATAATTCAAACTAATCTGATTTCAAACATAGGTTTGAAAAAGCTGGGTGAGTCTGCTTCAATCCTTAGCAAAAGAAAAATTTAAGCATAAGCTTAAAGAGTTTATGGAGATTCTCAGTCATCCAAGTCATGGTTGTCCCAAAGGTGCTTTTTCAAGAGGCAGCTGGACTTTCTGATTTGTTGTTGTTGTTTTTCTTTTTTCTTTGAAACGTCCTCAAAAGCTTAAGAACGTAAAGAACCTGAAATAAAGAGCAAAATCATAAATAAGATTTTGCTCTTAGAATGATATAATTGGAATAAGAGTCCAGATAAATTGGAATACCAAAACCCCTACACTAGGATTTTAAATTTAATTATAAACTACAAATATCTTGCAGGAAAATAGATCTCTTGGTTTATATAAGACGTAACATAGATGAACAATTTCATGATTTCAAAAACTGGACACTAGAGGGGACTAAAGATTTTAGATAAAGATATAAAGGCCAATAGATGGTGCAAAACATTTTGTCAGTAAAAATCCTGAAGGAGACTTTGGAAGGATGGAATTAGATAATAGTAGCCACAGTATCAACAAAGTTAGTAATGATGTCTGCTTCTATGGACAGACTGAAGAAATGTCAGATGTAGAACAAACTTTATCTGGCAAGATGGAGATGGTATCAAAAGTGGATTTACAACTGACAGATTTAAAAAAAAATCTTTTACCAGATCTGCAACAGAAATTGTCTCAGATTTTAAAATTTACCAGAGAAATGCAAACTACAAACCAAGGGAGTGTTTTGGATTTAGGATTTTATTGGAGAAGGATTTTAAGAGGCTTCTTAAAGCCTTGAAGAACTCTTGGTGATGGGACAAAGAAAAAAAATGAAGAGAAATCAAATCCCATGGCAGTATTTGAATGAACTAAAAAGTAAAAGGAAGTAATGTAAAATTGGCTTATTTTATCAAAGTTAGAACAAAATATGTTCTTCTAGCTACCTTTCAGGTACTTTCTGCTGACACCAGGCTTGAAAAGATGATGTTTTATGAATTTTTCATAGATAATAGATAGGGACCGGGATAAAGAAATAAATTTAACTTCAGAGGGAGTAGAGTCACTAAATATGATTATAGTTGCTGAAATGAAGATGAATTCATTATATATTTTTCTTTATTATATTCTTACTTTTCTTAGTTTTGAACTGTTTACTCCTTTCTATTCATTCTTTAAGTTTAATTTATATTACATTTTACTATTATAATAAAAATAATAAAATGTATTATTATATGTGGATATTAGTACAATATGTGCATTTATAGGCAATTGCATGAATTAAAAGTTACATTTGTAAATGTAAAAAAGAGAAAAGAAAGTGGATTTCCTTGGCAATTTAAGAACTTTTTAAGGACTTAATGGAGATAAAATCCAGCATCAGGAAAGTGAGGGTTAAATCTGCATTAGCATTGCTTGGTCAGTTTGCTGGTTTAAAAAAAAACCCAAACAGATTAGGTCTATTCCACTGTTTCCTGATACATACCTGTATTTATGTGGAATCGTTTTACATCTGTAGGAAGCCAATGGGATTTTATGCCAGAAGAAAGAGATAAAACTTCATTTATGGGAAAAGCTGCACTAAACTTAATTAATTAATTAATTAATTAATATGACATAGGTAGATTAGATTCTTGTAATTTTTAAAAAAATGTTTGGTAAAATGTAATAATCAGCATTCTCTATTTTGCCTCTTAATTACTAATTCTGCTTTTTTCCCCTACAGATGATTCATTATTGATTGGAGATATGTCTATGAAAAAAGAAGATACAATAACTGCTGCACACCTTATTCAGGCAGCTAAACTAGGAAACACAAAAGCTGACAATATTGTTAGAACAGGTAAAAAATACAAACCTAAGACTGAAATCTTTGTTAGAATGTTGGCTAGTGGTAAATATTGCTACTGTAGCCTCATCCTTGTCTGCTTCTGTTATAAAACAATGCCAAAAATAGGCCTTCTCCTTCTCCTGATAATCATTTTAACTTTCCTTTGGAAATGGAAAGAGAGAGGAAAAAATAGACCAGGCAAGATAAGGAGGGATAGATGTGAAAAAAAATATAGTTAGAAGTGCAGAGAATCACCTTAAATACAATTGTGCAAAGCTTTGATAGGTTATTTAATGTGCTAGTGGTTCAGAATCACTCTGTTAAAGTTGCTCTTTGTAGCCCTGCTTGCACTTCTACATTTGAAACTAAATTGACTATTTTGCTTCACTTGCTTCTAAAGTTTGTTCTAGCAGTTGCAATTGTTTAACAGATGAACAAAACTTTTTCTAGTAGTTTGGGATGACAGTTGAGGCTTCGGGGTAACACCAGGGATGGGATTCTACCTGGTCGGTCCAGTTTTATAGAACCGGTTGTTATGATTCTACCCAGTTCAGAGAACTGGCAAATCACACCATTGCGTGGCCCTGCCCCTCCCACTCACTCCTTACTTGGTATGCGCTCCATCAAACTTGCCTGTATTAGCCTAATTTTTGGTAAGTTGCTATTTTTCCTTTTATTTTCTGACCATCAGCTGTTCCAACTATCAGCTCTGCTGGGAGATTTAGATTAGCTAGAAAGCAGGAAATCATTGGATTCCTTGCTTTCTAGCTAATCTAAAAAGCAAAGCTGAATTTTCCTTGGGACTGAAGCTTCTATTTTTCAGTGCAGACTCATGTAATAAATTGCAGAATGGTAGATCTCTAAGTGAATCTGTGATTCTGTGAGCAACTCAATCTGCTTGCCTGTTTTGCCTGATTTTGGGTAAAAGTTGCTATTTTTTTATAAAAAATTCAATATTTACATAAATATTTACAATATTTATATACAAGCCATGCCCACCCAGTCACATGAACACAAAGCCATGCCCAGTCAGCAAGCCATGCCCACCCAGTCACATGAACACCAAGTCACACCCACAAATTAGGCCATGCCCACAGAACCAGTTGTTAAGAAATTTGAATCCCACCCCTGGGTAAAGCACCAAGTGCTTTATTGAGGCAAAACATGTTGCTTATTTGGTAGAACAGGATAACCATATTGCCGCTATAACTTAGAGCATCTCAACACCATAAAACCAAGCTGCCTGGCAAGTATTCAGCTAGTATTCTCTTGCTAATGGAAGAGGTCTATCAGTAGAATAGGAAAGGGAGCCTTTTTATGAATAGAGGGCAGTCTTAATTCCTGTTTCTTTGGAGGACAAGCCCTCATTTAAATTTTGTTGGCGCACACTTGCTATCATAGAATCAATCTAATCCTTGAAAACTTAAAAAGAGATTTTGCTGAAACCTGTTTATGTAACCTGAATGTAGTAGAAACCATGTTTGATATTTCTTTTTGTGATAGCTCCTGTGAAAATAGACTCAATCAAATTTTAAGAAAATCATATTTGCGCTTAAAGCAACAGTTATATAATCTAATCCAAAGAATAAATAGAAAGTGTTTTTTTAAAAAAGGTTAGAGCATCATTAATACTACTGAGAACCACTGATACAATGATTATTGGCATTGGGATAGTAATTGGGAGGCATGTATTCTAGTCCTGCCTTAAACACAAAGCTGGCTGATAAATTCAGGCCAATCCCTCTCACAATCTTAGGAAGAGACTTGTGGCAGACCACTTCTGAAAATGTTGCCAAAAAATTGCAGGGATTTCTTAGGAGGCAAAACTAACTGCATGGCCCCAACCCGGCCCCACACGATTATGATTACTGTGGTCGTTACTACTCCAACCTATACTTTTCCTTTTCTTCAGGCCTCTCTGAAAGATTTCAGTCACACCCTCACACATATATGTCTTATCTCTAGTGTCCATATTTGATGGTTTAACAGACAATGGAAAACAGGGATTTAGATTGTACTGGCATATATCTAACTGTCATGAAACAAATTTTTATCAGTGAAATCATACTTACTTTGAAACTCCCCAGTGGTTCTTGGGACTTTTTCCTCCATTTTTTTCCCTTTCATCTCAGCAAACTGTATTTACTTTTTTAATTATTGGTAGTTCTCAAAAAAAATTGTCAATGAATTTGTAAAGATACAAAACATCTGCAATGTTTTGGAGTCTATTATATTGCATGATACATTGTTTTTATCATGATTAGTTAAGCTGTTAGTGACTCAGAATGTAGTCACATAATGTAGGTAATTGCTTTATTTTGGACAGTTGAATAAGAGGGGTGAAAGAGGCAGTTGCTAATTTATGATTCTCTGACCATTTAAGAGTTGTGCACATTCTGTTCAATTAGAGAAGATAGTGAGGAAAAAAAATGTAGCCATATGCCAGCATGTTGGGATTACATTTCTAAGAATTCCTTGCCAGCATTGGCAAAAGCAAGATGGGTGTTTTAGTTCCAATATCTGGCAAGAATTCAGATGGAAAGGCTAATAATGTATAATAAGAGGTTACTCGTGGGGTCCTTGGTGCTCTCTGAGTTTGGTGGTTTTCTTGCAGACATTTCATTACCAAAGTAGGTAATGAAAAGATGCTCTAGCACTGATGATGTTACCTAGTTTAGTAATGAAACATCTGCAAGAAAAGCACCAAGCTCAGAGAATACCAAGGACCCCACAGTTCAACCCTGAGCTGCAAATATTCTCTTCTATCGGTAAAGTGTCTTTCTTATGTAACTCTCGTTCTTATGTCCTCCCTGATGCATGTTTCCTTTTTTCCCTCACAGCGGGAACAGCCCTGGGCCTTGGAATTGTTAATGTTCTGCACACCATTAGTCCTTCCCTGGTTATACTTTCTGGCGTCTTGGCAAGTCATTATGTCAATGTTGTCAGAGATGTGATTCGTCAGCGAGCATTATTTTCTGTCCAGACAGTGAATGTGGTTGTCTCAGACCTGAGTGATCCTGCCTTGCTTGGAGCTGCTAGCATGGTTCTGGATTATACAACACGCAGGATATACTGAAGACCTTACGCCAATATTGGTAGGTATGCTCTTAAACAGGGCTCCATTTAGGCCAGTATGGATTTTCACATGGGTATTTGAGTAAAGGGCCCTAACCAGAAAAAGGAGTCTGGGCTCCATGTTCAGGTCCGCCAGTTTCCTCCACAAGATATTTCTGTTTAATGAATCAAAAGCCGCACTTAGATCAATAAATGCAGTGAATAATTTCTTACCCATTTTTAAATACCTTGTTACCAAGTGATATAATAAAAGAAAAAATTGGGGGGGACCCACAGTTTACAGCAAGAGCCTCCAAATTCAAACATATACGGTTCCCAAGTACTACAACCTTGCGCTATTTTCCATGATAACCACATAAAGAACCAAAAGTTGCCTCAAGCACACAGAGGTTCGGCATTCATGGCTTCCAGAATCTCTAATATATTCGCCTTCTATATATCTGGGTTTTGTAAGCACAAATCAAATGCCAGTAAGTCCACAGAATTTTTTTAAAGGACTTGGTGAGCACGGGGAGGCTAACAAATATACGTCAGATTTCTAAAAGCCAGTTTAAATATGGGTTTGATTCAAAAAGCAAATGTTTTCTCAAGCCCCAAGTCAACCAGACCTATCTCTTCAGCCAGATATCTAGAGGAATATAAGTCACCTAACAGCTATTTGGGTTGGACAATATATAAACCAGGATAGACATTTTAATACTGTCTATTTAAGAGAATCCTATTAGGTACAGATAAAAAAAAATATAACTAAATTTTATAATTACTTATTAGAGATGGAATTAGAAGAGGAAGTAGTCAAAGGCAACATGATAGCTTGGAGCAGAAACATAGGACGTAGCATTACATTATTAGAATGGGAAAAAGGTTGGACAAGGAATAATAAAATTACAAAATCAGCAGCATATAAAGAAAATGCCTATAAAATGTTTTATAGATGGCATCTCTCACCCTCGAGAATAGCGAAAATGTCTTCTAACATGAATCCAAATTGTTGGAAAGGTAAAAAGAAACAGGTACCATTCTTTCATATGTGGTGGTCCTGCACTGAAGCCCAAAGATACTGGCATAGAATAAAAAAATGGTTAGAGGAAATAACGGCGGAGCAAATTGAATTAAAACCAGAATTCTTCCTATTGGGGATATTTAATAGACAAATTCCTAAAAATGCCAAATATATAATACTGCATATTCTTACTGCAGCCAGAATAACCTTTGCACAGTGTTGGAAACAAGCAGATATTCCAACAGAGGAAATGGTTATTCAGAAGAGAACAGCCTGTGCAGAGATGGATAAGTTAACCTTAGCACTTAAGGAAAAAGAAACATCAGAATATAGAAGCTGGGAATGCTGGTATGACTGGATAGAACAAAAATAGAAAATATATTAGTAAACAACGTAAAATGTAAAAGAGGTAGTAATTATATATTCGCAATAAGATGTATTTGTAAATATATCACCAATATTGATAACAAACAAGGAACCACAGACTGTCGATAGTAGAATTTAGTTTTTAATCATTTTCCTTTTCCTTTTTTTTCTTCTGTGTGTTGTATATGTGTTTGTTTGATATTTTAGTTTTATAATCAATAGTTTGTTTAAAAAAAGAGAGAATCCTAAAAGTGTAATTGGGTGTGGTTTCTCAAACGACCATAAGATGGAGCCAGAAACCTGGGTTGTTTAGTCTTAGTCTTAGTCTCAGAAGAGAGTGTGTCTTAGTGAGTCTCTCTGTTTCCTTCTGTTGGAGAGTATTGCCATTCCTCCATTTTTTCTAATTGACTGATATTCATGGATTTGATGTAAGTCTGATACTGAACTGTTTTTCACACTGGATTTTGTTATTGGATTATCCCTGGATTGAAAACTGACTGATTTACCTGTGAATGACTTTGGACTGCCTATTTTGAACTTTGCTTAAACTTTCTGGAAGTAAAAACCTACATTTACTGTACAGTGTATCTGTGTGCTGTGTGTGTATTATTCAACACGTATCTCAATACGTCTCCCTGTATGCGCTCATTCTCCTAATGGGGAATTACCTCAACAAATGCCATACATGTTCTTCTAGTCCAAAGGAATATTTACCTTTCCCTATATATCCTACTTTGAAAATTATTATGCAGTGTATTTTATATTGTTAAAATTTGCTCCAAGCCAATCAATCTTCTGAGCATTGAGTAAACTTTCAGTAAACTTTTCATTTCTATTATTTTCCTGGAATTATAAAACAAGGGAATTTTTCAGACCTTGGCTAAATTAAACTATGGGAGTGAGTTCCAGGCAATGCAAGCCTACCGAGAGAATTGAGCAATTAATATAAATAATGTAGCAGTGGGTTAAATTTAAAAGAAGAGCGTCCATTTTCATCCTGAAACAACTACTACTTTGAAGAAAGCTTCGGAGTTCAAAGGAACATTTTGCAAAACACACAACTTAAGCTTTCGGTAATTCTCTTAGGAGTGCTAAATGTCAGTTTTTCTGAATCAAATTAGAAAACACAAGGTTGTATTTTTGTTGCCAGTTTTGTTCAGTTAGGCAAGGGGATAAAAACAATAATGATCTGAAGAAAAATGAATGACTGGAAAATCCCATTCCTACATCACCTACAGCTTTCAGACTGGAACAGATTGCTAACATTTAAGGTTTGTTCAAATCACATCTGCACCCTGAAAGTCATTTTCTCCCATTGGTCTGCAAAACCTTGCAATCTGCCACCAACGGGAACGTCCAAGCTGCTATTTTTATTTTCGAAACGGTCTGCTTGATGAACCACGGAATAACCGCTTGGTCTGTGGTTGAGCTGTTGCCTTGTGGTTGTTGCCTTGAGCTTGCTGAAATTGTTGTCGCTGGCCGAAGTTTGGTTGACCTTGACGGGTCGATCTGTAGAAAGGGGCACGAAAAGATTGTGTGTAATAGGGTGAGAATTTGTTGTCTGTTTTCTTTAAGACTGACGGCATTATCTTACATTTATCCCGTGATTCGATGAGAACGGGATCTAGGGATGCCCCAAATAGCTTTCCTATGGTGCGGATGCCAGCTTCCATTTCTTCTTGGCATCAGCCTGCCAATATCTGAGCCAGAGTGACCTGCGTGCAGCAACTGCCGAAGACATGGCCTGAGAAGCAAATTTGACAGAGTTTAAAGTTGCGTCTGCCGCATATTCTGATGCAGCTATGATTTTGTTGAACTCTAAATGGGCTCTTATATTGTCTGTTGGTGCCTGCTGCTGCATTTGTCTTAGCTGTATCACAGCGGCCCTAGTAAAGACGGATGCCGCTGTGGCGGTCTTGACCGCCCACGCAGCTTCCTGGTGTGTCTTTCATCACATTGAATCAGCTCTTTTGTCTTCTCCTTTCAGGACATCATAATCGTTGAGAGTAGTTGAAGAAGCTAACGCTAGCACTGGTTCATCGACCTCAATCCTACCTGAATAATCGGAGTGTTCATCTTCTGATGTAGCAGGAGAACACGTTCTAGTATGTCCAGGGGGGTGGGAGTGTTTTCTACAGTGAGAGGGGCCTACTCTTGACTCTGCCTGTATAGGATAGTTCATCTGAAATTCCCCCATCATTTCCTGACCGATCATTTGAATAAACCACTCCTGAACCACCAGTGGCATTAATTGTCCTCCTGGTTCAGCGTGTTGTGTTTGCACAGGTTTAGGCAACGAATGAGCCATAGATACAGGATTATTCCAGTAAGAACACCCTGGCACTGCAGAATCCTGCATGTTTGTAACTGCTTGGGCCGAAGTTCCCATGTCTGATCCCACTTGGAAAAACATTGGCTGATTTGTGGGATCCCCTTTGGGAGGACTTAACTGTAGTAAGTTCATTTGTTCTTTTGAATTTTTTTCTACTTGCTTTACCAACGCATTGTGTAGTCTACGCTCAGCCAGCTCATCAGCTTTAGTTTTTCTGCTAGCTCTTGCCCTGGCTCTGAGTTTGTCAGCTGCCTCCTGTGCTGATCCTTTGGTCTTACAGATTCTTTTACCCCTACCTTTCTGCTGGGTGGGAGCGATCTGCTGTGGATAGAGTGCGTTGGAAGATTCCTTCATAACGTCTGTAAATGCCTGTACTAGTACTGTGACTATATTAAATAAAGGTAAAAGTACAATTAATTAGTCTGTAGTAATCTTTTTAAAAGTCACTATTAATAAGTTAATAAATGGTTTAGGGAGACAAAAAGAAATTTTTTTTTTTTTGAGGCTTTGCCCCTGAGGACTGAAGACAAATAAAAAACGGCTCTATAATCAGATTGAGTAAAGTTCGGGTCGTAATGCACTTGTAACTAGGCAGAAAATGGATGCCTCTACAAAATGGCGCTCCCGCCAAAATTAACCGCCACCATGTTAATTTTACTGTTGCTGGAACCTCGTAGCAGCAGACCCAACAGCTTTGCTCAGACAGTGCTTTTTCATTGCTGGAACCTCGTTGTTGCAGGCACAAGAGCTCTACTTAAGACTGCGCTCCCTTATATGGGCACACTGTCTTACAGGCTTTCGTTTCAGGGGCCCTCTGATATTGATCTTTAAAGCGGTCTCTTCACCCGCTGTTTGGCACGAAACCAGCCATTCCACGTTAAAATCAAATAAAGGTGTCTTTTGCGCTCGGCTGTCTAGCGCTCCCTTATATGGGCAGGCTGCCCAGCCGGCAAAACGAAGCCTCTCTGACGCTCCCCAATCCCTATTCCAGTTGTTCTTTTGGAAAAGACAAGTTCTTTATTTTTGTGCATACTAACAAATTATCCCAAAATAGTGAAGCCGTCATTTTTGGGGTGGCTTTTTGATTATAAAATAGCTTGGTGTTAGATGGAATGGAAAAGAAATGTGGTGCTGTGTTCACTTGGCTTCTAAACCATGAAGGGAACATCCAAGTTTAGCATTAAATGATATAGTGCAGGTGGGCTGCTAAGGCTTCAGTTTACCTCTGGTGAGACTCGCAAAAAATTTTTTTTATTGCGGCTGATCTCTGAGCAATGATTTGCCAATCATCTTTGGGAAGACATAAATTCCTAAAGCACCCATCCCAAGATAACATCCTGTATTGTCTAATTCCCAGAATGCTCCAGCATACTAGCCTCGGTCTGAAAGATACCATATCTTTAATTGCTCATCTAGCAGAGATAAATCATATCACTGACAAAGGGCATTGCTGCATCTCTAAATTATGGTGCAGATGTGTTTATTTATGTGGTTAAGTAGCATTCATTTTATGTGATTAGTAATGTTTTCATTCATGTGAGTACTGAATTTTTAACAGGCTGTTTGCCTGCTTTATTAAATTAGAAAAAAAAATGTTGGCTCAACTGTATATCACAATTTGATAAGCACCAGTGAAAAAGAAAATGTTCTAGTGTGCCAAGAGCATTATTTAAAAGCAAAACTGTCTTTAATTGAATATTGATCTTAGTATTTGTTATTTAGCTCAGCATCGCTCCTGCATCACTTTTTTAATTGGGAAAGGAATTTACATCTACCTGTTACATGTATAAAAATAAAATCAAATGTTGAAATTGAGCACTTTTCTATTTCTTGTTGGCATGAAAAATATGGTTTTCTCTGTTGCCTTTTTATTAAGACAATGATTAGTTCTGTACATTGTTCTTTGTCTAAATGTTGAAAGATAGATCTAAGTGACTTCAAGCTAAATATCAAAGATTCAAATAAAAATAAAAATTATGTATCAAATTTCGATTAAGTATCTTATTTATTTATCCAGCTATTAGTTTGAGAAACATCACATCTGCATTATTTTATCATAGCCCACTACTATAAAATTCCTGAAATTAAAGCCAAAATCAGAAGACATCTGATAGAATTTTAGATCAAGATTAATTTTACAAAGTTTATTTCGCTGGAAATGGCTCAGTTGATCTTGAAGGAATCTGAAAAGCAAGGTTATTAATAAGCTCTAGCTATGACATAGCAGTTTACATCTTTTGTGAATGACGTTAACTGCTTGGCCAAAATAGAGCAACAAAAAAAAAATAGTGCTTCCTTTGGTATAGGAAAAGGATACTTTTCCTATGTGTTCTGGGTAAAATGTGACAAATATGCATATATCGCTCTATGGTGGTTGACATCTGGTAGTCTTCGTAATTTTTAAAATTTTAAAATAATAATTTTTTAGGTGTCATTGTTTTATTATATGCTGCCCAGAATTGTTTTTTTTTTTTTTGTGACATGGGCAGCTATATGAATTTGATAAATGAATGGTGCATGAAATAGGTGGCTATTTAAATTTTGCAAATAAATAGTGAAATATTCTGGGTTTGAAAATGTGCAAGGTAATGTCAAGGGATAACTGGGAAAAGAAAACAGTAATTTTGAATGCATCTGTTTTTGAAAATAAAAATTGCAGCCATTATATTCCCAACTATTTGTAGCTAGCACAACAGAATCCTTCTAAATGAGCAAAGTTTCTTCGGCTTTTTAATATTCCCACACAACAGTGCAATTTAAACAGAACTTTAATATTGGTACATTTGAAAGTCAAATCTCAATGCATAAGAGGAGCATAGAGACTACAATTTTGGAAGTTTTCGCCCAGTTTGGACACCAGGAGGACATAGAGGAGAAACATGCAATCACAGAACAATGATCAAACTCTAAATACATTGTGAGGTTTGGTCCAAAAACAAACAACAAAAAACATTTAAACATAATTAATCCAATCACTGCAAACACAGCTTCTCTGAGTAAAGTTAGATATTGCATTTGTAGTGTAGGGTGTGCTTTCCCTTTCAGCGAACCAGCGGGGCCTGCTTGAGCGAAATCAGCACTGACCGCATGCGGGACACATCTTTTGCCTGCTTGCTCGACTTGGGGTTAAAGTCACAGAGCCGAGCCACACGTTCCCACTCGGTGCCAGGAGATGAGTCTTCAACATCATTCACAAAGACTTCTTCAGCTGCCCTAGAAATAATGTAACACCATGTTTCATTTCAATGAAATAGGTCTCCCACCCGTTTTCCCATGAGTTGCTTCCTAATTGTAAAATCATCATCACCACCATCCAAAGTAGGGTAAAATTTCCAATCATCTCTTTTTAGACCTTCAAATTATGGAGAGGGCAATAATCAAGACCCAGTTGAACAGAGAGGTGCTAAGTCAAATATCGGCGTATATGTGTGCTTGGTTTAACAAGAGAAGGGTAATCTCAACCTTATTTAGTGTACCGAGCTGAGGAGAGTGGGTTTATCGAGAATCAACTGTACTGATGCATAACCTGAGTCTGTGTAATGTGCAAATTTGACAATCTCATTACCCTCACACTGAGTTTTGCATACAATATAAATTAGAAGATCCACAACACAACAGCAGAGCATGTGCAATCCATGCAGATGGTTCCAGGTGCAATCCCGAGCATTTCCATATAGGGCCAAAAAAAAAAAAAAATCCAATCTGAAACCTCTGAGAGCTATTAGGAGTCAGATCTGATGACCTTAAGTTGAAGGATCATCATCTGACTCTATGTAAGGCCATCGCCAATGATCCTATGGACACCAGTAGAAGTAATCAGGTTGGCATGGTATGCTAAGATTGGTATTCAGATGCCTTCTTAACAGTTACTTTCAATTTTTACAAACTATAACGTGAAACTGGAATATTATTTTCAATGCTGTGGAGAGAGCAGAAATTAGCATGAAAGAAAAGATGTTATAGCCTCATGCTTGAAAATGCTACGGACCTAAAGACTGGAGCAAGGAAGACTGAAGGAAAAAGGCCAAGGAGAAATCTGCTTCTTTGTTTCATCTGCACTTGTGCACATTTTGTGCTTAATGATATCACCACAAGTATTGTCCCTTCAATACTAGCATTCTGCTATCTTGCTCACAAATAGGAAAATTATTTTCTGGAACTAATCGAAGCAGACTGTGAGCTCTGAACATAAGCAAATGCAATAAAGCAGACCTACTTATGGGGAAGGGAAAAGGAATAAAACTACTCCCACAGAGTATTGGGGGGGAGGGGGAAGCAATGATATGAACTTATGAAGTTCAGCACTGATCACAAGTATGGTTGTATTTTACAAACACCACTGATGACAAGGGTCACTACAACACTGCTATTTCATGGGACAAGACACTTAAGGGGCAGTGAAGAGTTTACTTAACTGTTCTAGGCTGTAGCAAGGATGGTTTATGTTTGTGCTTTAAAGGTGAAGAGAAACAAAAACGAGAGTTTAAGTCAGATATAGAAAAATGAAAATGAGCATAATGCAGATGGCAAGTAAAGCTGGCCAGACATGCACTTTGGAGCACTATCAACGTTCAGGAACAGGTGCCTCCAAAATTTCTTTTACGGCAACTAAAGGCATTCTTCTCTCATCCCCAACCAGTTACAGGAAACAGCCTTTCTGCCTGAACTTCAACTGCAAAAATCAAAGGCAGACACCACCTGTAAGTTCAGCATTTCACAAATCAAGGGGTTTCCTAAGTCATCTGCCAAACTTCTAACGCGCTGGGGAAAGTTTCAGTGCTTAAATCAGAACAGAAACAGGCATGAAATACCCATCGGCCTTTTCAAGGACTGCTATGCAACTCTTCCGGATTACACAACGAATCTGAAAATATTGTAGGCAATTAATTAAGGAAATATAAAACATGGTGAGGAACACAGGGCCCCAGCTCCAAAACAATTTGATCACTGTTACTTTTTCCTCAATTCCTGGCATACTCCATTCAACTACAAACTTACTGTGTATAGACAAGGAACAGCGACTTCCCCACCTCCTGAACTTGCCATTATTGGGTTTTTAAGCAGGAAGAAGGACAATTATTCTATCAAAACATCTATTATAGTATTCTGTTTTGTCCATCTGGACTAGCACCAGCGAACATAAGTATCACAATTTCAGCATGTGCATTGAGGAAAGAAGGCATTTGATTCTGAATTATAAACATCCAGAAATAGATAAGAAGCACCTTTTTATTTAAACTTTTCAGAGTATAGAACTGGAATATGAATAGAAAAACAGAAAAAGTTGTCCCACTTATTCTGAAAGAAGAGTTGTTTTACCTAGGAAAGTGGCATAACTAAATTTTACCTACAATTATTAGAACTAAATCCTGTAGCAATATTTTATGACTGAATGAATCCTCCCGTTTTATATTGTACAAACTACCTAACCTTTTTTTTCCTGTTTGTTTCCATTTCTTGTTAACCACTGCAATAGTTTTAAACTTAGTATCGCTACAAAGGAGCTGCTTAAGTAGCTTTTATTATTTTATATCTGGGAAACATAATACTAAACGGTCAAATATGTAAACAGTACAGGAGATAAGTACTCAGCTTGGAGAAAACTGAGTGTTTTCAGTTACTAAATATCACCTATATTTAGTACAACAAAATTCAACAAAACTGCATGCTAAGCAGTTTAATTTTCTATAGAATGAAATTTAAGACAGCTTTGCTTATTACAAAATTAATGAAACCAACCAAACACTGATTTGAAAAAGTTCAATTTACTATTCAACTGCTATTATTTCACCTATTCCAGCATTATCTATTAATTTTAATATGTTCACAATTCATTATTCCAGGCATACACTCTACTATGTAACTCAAACCAAACCCTGAGTTACCTGAAGTCTCCAGCATTTGCTACATAGTAATAACACTTTTAATACTGTATCCAAAACCCAACAAGAAGAGACAACAAAACCATGCAATCTCTTCCCTTAACATTGAAAAATTGTTCTTCCTTACAATTTTATTTGAAATTTCCACCATTCTTTGATTAAAAGCACCTAAACTATTCCGTGATTATGTGTCCAGAAGTCAATCGACATTCCTTGGATACTATTATTGTTGTTTATTTTAACTATGTGTAATATCAGAAATTGTCCATTCCTGCCTTCCCCCAAAAAGTCAGGTATCTTCTTCCTATTTTGCTCTATAACACAGTATGTCTCTCCGGGAGATTAAAAATGTTAAGTAAAACAGATGGATCAGAATATAACCAGTAGTTAGGCAACATACACATAACCGATCACGTCAGCGAAGGGTTGTTTGTAGAAAGCTTCATCTGCCACCCTAGATGGCAAGTAGTCCACAGAAGAGGCAAGCAGACAGAAGACAAAGAGAAAAGAATAAGCAAAAGGAAACATAGCAAAGTAGAATTAAATTTCAAGTGATTAACATGCAGATTAATGACCCGAGAAATATTTGGAAATTGTAAGTGAAGGAAAAAAAACATTTAAGAAATATGTGTTAAGAGATAAAACAACAGATAAGAAACAACTTAGCTCAATTAAAATAAGTTAGTCCCTTGCAGACAATCAAACATCCACTGTAGGTCTTCAGGCATTGTTTTGCATGATAACATTTCAAACTAGGGGATATCTTGGTAAACTAGGTTATAAACAACAGCTAACAAAGGCAACTTAACTTGCAAAAGCTTTTTTTAAAAGTGCTTTGGTTTATGCTAAGAAAGGGGAAATCTGCTCTACAGAGCGAGCATTTCTAAACCTTTGA